TATGTGTATATATACACATATACAAACATATACATTTGATTACACATTCATGTACATACATTCACATACACATATACGTGCCACTCTGGAATCAGAATACTCTAATTCCAGAGCGTTCTAATTCTGGTTCTGCTATTCACTAGGTTTATGACTCTAGATAGGTTCCTATACCACTGAGCCTCAGTTTCCTTATCTGTAAAATGGGGATAATACCTTAAGCAGTCAGCAAAGATGTCAGTGCTGGCTGGCAGCACACGTTGATTCAGCACTTTCTGGTAAATATTCTTCTCGCTGCTGCTCCCTGTGGTGACTGAGCCCAGAGTGTCTGGAAGGGGGAGGGGGCCATGGAGAGGGCCAATCTAAACTGATTAGCAGGCCGGGCGCTGTGGTCTCAGTTCCAGACCAGCCTGGCCAACATGGCGAAATCTCGTTTCTACTAAAATACAAGAACTTTGGGAGGCCGAGGCCGAGGCGGCTGGATCACGAGGTCGGGAGATTGAGACCATCCTGGCTAACACGGTGAAACTCTGTCTCTACTAAAAATAAAAAAAATTAAAAAAAAAAAAAAATTAGCCGGGCGTGGTGGGGGGCGCCTGTGGTCCCAGCTACTCAGGAGGCTGAGGCAGGAGAATGGTGTGAACCCGGGAGGCGGAGCTTGCAGTGAGCCGAGATCGCTCCACTGCACTCCAGCCAGGGCGACAGAGTAAGACTCCGTCTCAAAACAAACAAACAAACAAACAAAAAACAAAAAAATTAGCTGGGCGTGGTGGCGCGTGCCTATAATCCCAGCTACTCGGCGAGGCTGAGGCAGGAAAATTGCTTGAATCCGGGAGGCAGAGGTTGCAGTGAGCCGAGATAGCGCTACTGCACTCCAGCCTGGGTGAAATTCATCTCAAAAAATAAATAAGTAAATAAACTGATAAATAGTACACGCTCATCTTGCAAACTGCTGCAAAGGGAGAGGGGGTGAGGATGGGGTGGGGTACTGCATGTGCCAGGCCTGCCTGGTGGCTGGCTGGGGAGCCGACCTGCTCTGGGCCTCCTGGGGAAAAAGGGCAGTTAGGCGGGTAATGACCACTGAGCAGGGGAAATGGATCCTTTCCTAGATAGCAGGGCCTCTCGCTATCACTGGGCAATCAAGACGGCTGTAAAACTTTAAACACCTTCTCGGGCCGGGCAGCTCTGCACGAGAAAACCCCAAATCCCACATACTCCCACCACTCCCAGAAGCCCTGTGGTGGTGAACTGGGGAACTCAGAGGGCAGGCTGTTGGGTTCAAACGCCATATTTGTCCCTTACTGGATGTGTGACCTGTGGTGGGTCCCTGTGCCTCTCTGGGTCTCAGTTTCCCCATCTGTAACACGGCGATGTAATAGTACCTAGCTCAAAGGTTTAATGCTGGCAGATCACTGAGCAAAGGTGCGGGGACGCAAGAGGCTCGGTCTGCAGGACTTGTCATTTGTTGGCCGCGGTGAGACCCCGCCCTCCCGCGTCCGTTGGGAAGGCCACCGGAAGTAACGCGAGGCGGAACGTTTTAGCGGAGACACTCACTGGGGCAATCTGAGGTACTCCAAGAGACTGTGGCGGAGGGACCGGAAGCGCCAGGCAGGGACCCGGGGTAGATGCTAAATCCAAACTCAAACGCACAGGTCTGGATGATTGAAGCAGCGGCGGGAACTAGTAGGACCTCCGAGCTCTTTAAACTGTCCTCAGCCTTCCCCGTGGGCTCGGCCGGTTCTCCACAAGCTCCGAGCAGAAGAGGGGCCGACGTTTAAGTCAAAGGCCTTGGGGCTCCGAGTCCCTCCCTCTCCCCGTCCTGTGAAGGCGCGACCCAGTTCAGCTGTCTGTAAAGTGGAGCCATTAGTCCCTGCCTCGTGGTGGGAAAACTGAGAGGCGGAACGAGGGGGCCGCCGGTCCCAACCCGTCCCAGGAGCATCTTTCTCCGCAGACCGTTTCCTGGCGAGGTGCATCTTCGTCCTTTTCCGCCCTTGGGAACTTACAGCGGCCCCTTGGCCGCTGGTTCCGCACCTCCCGCGGTTGGGGCGTACCCGGAAGTGCCCCTGCGGAAGCGGGCAGGGCCGTGGGCGCTTCACTATGGCGACGGTGGCGGCTCCGCGGCGCTTCTGCCGCTGCGCCTGCTTCTACACGGATAACTTGTACGTGGCGCGCTATGGGCTGCACGTGCGCTTCCGAGGCGAGCAGCAGCTGCTCCGGGACTACGGCCCGGTGAGTGGCCGCTGTTATCCCTACGGAGCAGTGGGCAGAGAGGGGCAGTGGCGGAGGGAAGTTCGTCCCCAAGGTCGTTTGCTTCCCTTCGGCGCGCACCGCATCCTTAAATACAAGAATGACGGCCTCTCTGTGCCTCAGTTTTCTCACCGTAAAGGGGTAATAGCATCTCTCTGTGAGGTTGTGAGGAAGGAATGAACACGCATGTAGAGGGCTTAGGACAGGGCCGGGCTCAGCTTGCCACCTTATAGCAACACCAGCCCGGAGCCCTGCCGTCAGCTTGACAAGGTTCCGGAGTTCATCCTCTCCATGATCCTTTGAGGTGGGGGCTCCTCTCCCCATTTTAAGCAGGGGAAACTGAGGCTTAGAGAGTGAAGGGACTTCCTAAGGGCATACAGTAATGCTCAGTGTTCTTTCTGCTCCCAGATCCTGCGCAGCCGAGGCTGTGTTAGCGCCAAGGACTTCCAGCAGCTGTTAGCAGAGGTACCAGTCCCCTGCCCCTGCACAGCTCCTCCTTGTTAGATTTGTGTCCGCAGCTTGAGGGGTCCCCTAGCCTCAGTCCCTGATCCCTGAAGGATCACTTAGGCCCTCACTTTCCTCCTTCCTGCCCCCCACTCATCCCTCCACACCTGGGTCTTGGCACCAGGAGAGAGAAGGGGAAATGCTGAGTTGCCTAGTCATGCCGTTCTTAACACCTCTGCGAGATATGCACAAGCACCACCCTCATTTTGGATTGAGAAGCTGAGGCTTAAAGAAGGATCACTTGCCCAAGCTTTTTTTTTTTTTTTTTTTGTGACATGGAGTCTTGCTCTGTTGCCCAGGCTGGAGTGCAGTGGCGCGATCTTGGTTCACTGCAAGCTCCGCCTCCCGGGTTCACGCCATTCTCCTGCCTCAGGCTCCCGAGTAGTGGGGACTACAGGTGCCCGCCACCAAGCCCGGCTAATTTTTTGTATTTTTTAATAGAGACGGAGTTTCACCGTGTTAGCCAGGATGGTCTCGATCTCCTGACCTCGTGATCCACCCTCCTTGGCCTCCCAAAGTGCTGGGATTACAGGCGTGAGCCACCGCGCCCGGTCACTTGCCCAAGCTTTTACAGCAGGAGTGGATGCGATCCTAGCCGTGGCTTCCAGACCCCTGGGCTCCTCACACCTTCCCACATACCCCGCAGGCTGCTGCCAGCATTGCTGACCCACTCCCTCCTCCCCCTTCCCCTGGAGTCAGTGGTGGGAAGCTTCCCAGGAGAGTCCTCAGCAACCTCTGGAACACAGGACTTGGCCATGACTGTCTCCCTCCCCTGTGTGGGCCCAGATGGTTGAAGTACATCTAGGGGTTCTCATCCCAGCTAGGCTCAGGTTGGGCAGCCTGAAACAGGATGGGTCTCCTTCTAGAAGTCCCTTTCAGCTAACAATCTGGAACTTGCAATTGACACAGATAGATTCAGGAGTGTAGGCTAGACTTGGCTTCCAGCCTGGGCCCTGTCTGGCGTTCCTGGGCTTCAGTTTCTTCATCTGTACAGTGGCCTCAGGAGGATGGGAGGCCCCACCTAGTAACAGCCTTGTGCCACCCCAGCTGGAGCAGGAGGTGGAGCGGCGGCAGCGGCTCGGGCCGGAGTCAGCGGCTAGGAAAGCCCTCATCGCGAGTTCCTACCACCCAGCACGGCCTGAGGTCTATGACTCACTGCAGGTACCAGCCAGCCAGAGTGCTTGAAGGCCGGTACTGGAAAGAGGAGGTAGCATCCAGGGCTGAGGGGCTGCCTGTCCCATAGCTGGTGTGTTCTGCCCCCAGGATGCAGCTCTGGCCCCCGAGTTTCTGGCCGCGGCTGAGTACAGTGTGTCCCCGGGCGCAGACCTCAAGGGCCTTCTCCAGCGGCTGGAGACAGTATCAGGTGAGGTCCTAGCCCTGAGACCTGGCAGGACCAGGGGATGGCAGCCTGGGAAACCTGGGTGTGGGATACTGGGGTCCCTCCAGCCACCATCTCTGCCTCCAAAAACCAAAGCAGCAGGAGCTGGAAGGGTCAGACCAGCCTGCCAGGAACAGGACATCTGCATTCATTCAATACCTGCCACAAGCCTGGTATCTTCATTCCTTCCTTCACACCTTCCTTCGTGCCCTCATCCAGCAAATAGTAGGTATTTGTGTCAAGTGTGGGACAGCTGGCACACTGAAACAAGGCTGATCCAAGATCTTTTTTTTTTTTTGAGACGGAGTCTCGCTCTGTCGCCCAGGCTGGAGTGCAGTGGCCGGATCTCAGCTCACTGCAAGCTCCGCCTCCCGGGTTTACGCCATTCTCCCGCCTCAGCCTCCCGAGTAGCTGGGACTACAGGCACCCGCCACCTTGCCCGGCTAGTTTTTGTGTCTTTTTTAGTAGAGACGGGGTTTCACCGTGTTAGCCAGGATGGTCTTCATCTCCTGACCTCGTGATCCGCCCGCCTCGGCCTCCCAAAGTGCTGGGATTACAGGCTTGAGCCACCGCGCCCGGCCGATCCAAGATCTTAAAGGGACCACTGAGACAGGTGTGGGCAGGGTAAAGGGACCAGTAAGGAATGGCAAAGCCCCGCCCCCCAGGGCTGGCAACGGGAGGGAGCAGTTACCACCTGGAGTTGTGGCTCTGGGCAGAGGCCTGGAGCCATGCCAGACTCCAAGTAGGGCAAAAAATGCCCCATTTCTCCTCTTACCTTTGGATTTCCTGCTGGGCTCACTTATTGGCTAAACCCAGCAGGAAACGCTGGGCAAGGGAGGTTTGCGTATTGTTTAACCTTTGTGACTCAGTTTCCTCATCTGTAAAAGGAGCAACAGTAACCCCCTCTCTTAAGGCACCGTGATGATCAAGTGAGTTAATCTACATAGAGTGCCTGACACAGGCCCGTACCTAGTGTTTGGAAAGTGTTTCCTCTTACTGGCACTGATAGCCTGGGCTAGGGGCTCCTGTGGGAGACAGATATGTTTCTCCTCATGGAGGCTGTGCTTTGTTAGGGGGCATGGGTGGAAGGAACTCCCCTCCTCCCAGCCTGGGGGTGCTCTCCTCATTGCCTTCCACTCCCCGGCAGCTGAGATTGTGCTGAGGCTGTTGGCTGGGGCAGGGCCCAGGCTGCGAGGTGGCCCCATCGGGGGCACACTAGCCCTGCACCCCTGGGCACTGGTGCATCTGCCAAGAAATGTTTAGGTTTCCATTCTCAGCCTGGCTTCTTCCCCCTCCAGGGCCCAGCAAGAAAGAACAGCCCCTCCTGGCCTTCCTGCTGGGGGACAGAGGCTCCCAGAGCCACTTCTGAGTTGGGGTACAGACCTCGGTGGCTCCTCAGGTGAAAGGAGGTGCAGAGAGCCTGAAGTTGGCTCTGTGATCCCAGCTTGGCCGTCACTGGCCTGCCGGGTGTCGCTGGGCTACTTCCTTTCCCTCTATGGGCCTCAGGACCCATATGGGAGCTCCCAGGGCCAGCCCTGTGGACACTTGTGGAGTCTGGGGAATGGTTCCGGGCATAAGTAGGGGGACATGGGAATCAGCCTCCCCTGCTCCTCATGTTACTTCAGTCATCACAACAACCCTGAAAAGCGAGGGCCTTATCCCCATGGCACAGGTGATGAAACTGAGGCTTGGGGGAGTGAACAGACACGCCCAGACTCACATGGTTCACGGGAAGACTGAAGCCCAGGCTTGGCCGGCCCACAGCCACGTTCAGGCCAACAGACTATCCCTCCTTCCACAGGGGAGAAGCGCATCTACCGGGTGCCTGTGTTCACAGCACCCTTCTGCCAGGCCCTGCTGGAAGAGCTGGAGCACTTCGAGCAGTCGGACATGCCTAAGGGGAGGCCCAACACCATGAACAACTACGGGGTGGGTGAGGCCTGGCCAGTGGCAGAGGAGGGGGTGGCTGAGGTCAGGAGGCAGTGTTGGAGGTGCTGCAGATGGGCTGCCTGCCCGGGCTGCGAAAGGTCACAGTGGGATCATGGCGGAGTGGAACCCCAGGGTTGCAGCCCCCTAGTTTCCTTGCTGACCCCAGGAATCCCCTCCCAGGTGCTGCTGCACGAGCTCGGACTGGACGAGCCGCTGATGACACCACTGCGGGAGCGCTTCCTGCAGCCACTGATGGCCCTGCTGTACCCCGACTGTGGCGGGGGCCGGCTCGACAGTCACCGGGCCTTTGTGGTCAAATACGCACTGGGCCAGGACCTCGAGCTGGGCTGCCACTATGATAATGCCGAGCTCACCCTCAATGTGGCCTTGGGCAAGGTCTTCACAGGGGGCGCCCTGTATTTTGGGGGCCTCTTCCAGGTGAGTGTGCGACCCATGCGGCAGGACCTGGGGCAGCTGTGAGTGCCCAGGCCTGAGCCGTGCCGGTGCCATCTGCAGGCACCCACAGCCCTGACGGAGCCCCTGGAGGTGGAGCACGTGGTGGGCCAGGGTGTTCTCCACCGTGGCGGCCAGCTACATGGGGCCCGGCCTTTGGGCACTGGTGAGCGTTGGAACCTCGTCGTCTGGCTCCGGGCCTCTGCCGTGCGCAACCGCCTCTGTCCCATGTGCCGCTGTGAGCCCGACCTGGTGGATGATGAGGGCTTCAGTGATGGCTTCACCCGAGAGGAGCCAACCACGGTGGATGTGTGTGTGCTCACCTGAGGCTGCTTGGGCCCAGTGTGGGGGTGGCAGGGCAGGTGAGGGCTCTGTCGCCTTGGGCTGGGGGCAGAAATAAACTCCCCGCAGCCTACCGCATTTCTTGGCTCGAGGCTGTGCCAGCTTCTGGGTCATCCTCTGGGCAAACAGGCTGCCTTAGTTCAGGTTTGTCGGAAGCAGAGTCTGGAATGAGGCTTCGGCAAGGGAGTGAGGGAAGCAGGGGAGGGGAGGGAGCAGCTGGGCAAGGAGGTGGCTTCAGAGGAAGTCCAGCCTCAGCAGGACCCGCAAAGAGCTCCAGGCAGAGCCCACAGTACCACGGTGTGCCCACACCATCGGTTGGCTCCCGGATGAGGAGGCCAGAGAGGGGTGAGTAACTTCCCATGCACTTATCTCCAGGGCAGGGTACCTTCCAGTAGCCAAGGGAAGCTTCCAGAGACAGCACAGATGTGAACCCTCAGCAGCAGGCATCCCCCCCAGTGGCTCGGTGGGCCACCAGTAGCATCTTCTAGATGGCAGAGGGGGAATGGCAGGGCCAGGAGCCAGGCTGCCTGGGTTCCCATTCTGCTGCTGCCACTTCCAGCTGTGTGGCTCTGGATGAGCCTTTGCCTTTTGGTGCCTTGGTTTCCGCATTTAGCACCTACTTCCTAGAGCTGTTTTGAGAGTCAGATACGCCGATGTATCTATATAAAGTGCTTTGCAAGAGCCCTTTGTGTTTGCGGCTGTCATTATTGTGGAAGAGTTGCTACTTGGGGGCCTGAAATCGGATGAAGCGCACAGCCACGATTTGGATTACACATTTGAAAATCAGGGGGCTTCCATATTGCAGTCTTGAGTTCGGTCTCCCTGGGAAGGTGGGTCCACCAGCCCCATGCCCCCGTTGCACGGATCAGCTGGAGCAGAATCCCGGCTTCCCTCCGGATGGGCCTGGGTCCATGCCCGCGCTCACTGCCAAGATCTCTCTGGCCCCTACGGACACGAGTTTGCGACCTCTGAGTCACTGGGCGGGCTCGTGGGCGTCTTACTCTGGAGCTCACAGTCGTACGGAGAAGACAGCACCACCCGGGGAGGAGGGCGGCGCGCGCGAGGGTCGCCTTCTTTCCAGGGCACCGGGGGCGTGGATGCTGCGGGAGCGCACCGAAAGGGCAGCCTTGGAAGCGGGCGCAGCTTCGGCAGACACAGGCCTGAGGGGCTGCGGAGCTCGAGGGCCGGCGCCAGGCTGCAGGGCACGGCCTCGCCCCGGCGCCCCTCCTTGCCTCTGCGGGAGGTGGGCGCGCCCAAGACGGAACCTGGGGCGTCAGAACGAAAGGCAGTGGCGCCGCGCTTCCCGGCCGGACAGCCTCCAGCGCAGCTCCCCGGCCGGAAGCCTTCTCGCCGCCGCTTCCTCTCGAGAAGGCGTGGGGCGGGCTGTCCGGCCCGCAGGGCGGTCAAGGTGGGAACGGAACAGCCCCAGGGGACCCCTTGAGGCGGCGAGGGCGCTAGGCTAGAGGGTAGGAGAGCGCGGGAAAGCGCCCCAGACGCCACTCGCGGCGGACTGTGGCTGGTTCCCAGGGGCTCCGAGCCGGGTGCGCGGGCGTGGGGCCTCCGGGTGGGGGCGCGCCCTTAATAGGCGCCGCTGCGGGGACTGGAGTCGGCATGAGAAGCCGGAGTCCCCAGCATTGGGGGTGGGTGAGGGTCGCTTATTTTCCCGGGGCGGTGACGGGTACTGGGCGCCGCGAGGCCCCAACCCCGCTAGAGCCGCCCTTGGAGCCCGCCCGTGGCCGGCTTGGGGGGCTTCGGCTCAAGCGCTTCCTCCCCGTCGCTAGCCCGCGGCGCCATGGCTCACGTCGGCTCCCGCAAGCGCTCGAGGAGTCGCAGCCGGTCCCGGGGACGGGGGTCGGAAAAGAGAAAAAAGAAGAGCAGGAAGGACGCCTCCGCATCCCAAGGTCGCAAGGCCAGCACGGCCCTCGGGGCGGAGGGTGAGGACCACAGGCATCGGGGAGAGGAGGCACAGCCACTTCCCGGGGAAGTCGGGGCGAGCAGCGGTCGGGGACGCTCAGTCATGCCTCTGTGCATCTGGGCCTGAGATGCGAGGGCCAGGCGCCACGGGAGCCGGGAAGGGGCTCCCCCGGGAAGCTCCATCTCTGTTCTGGAAAGCCCCGCAGGAGGCGCTCACCCTGTAGATGGTCTGTGCCTGCCCCAGGCCAGAGTAGGGGACGAAGGTTTACCTCTTCCCCTCCTGGCCTTCTAGCCTCACCTTCTCCCTGCATCACAGAGAGAAGCAAGCACAAGGCCCGGAGGAGACCACGATCCAGCTCCTCCTCCTCCTCTTCCAGTTCTAGCTCCTCTTCTTCCTCCTCGTCCTCCTCCTCTTCCTCCAGTGATGGCCGGAAGAAGCGGGGGAAGTACAAGGACAAGAAGAGGAGGAAGAAGAAGAAGAAGAAGAAGCTGAAGAAGAAGGGCAAGGAGAAGGTGGAAGCACAGCAAGTGGAGGCTCTGCCGGGCCCCTCGCTGGACCAGTGGCACCGATCAGCTGGGGAGGATGAGGATGGCCCAGGTACTGTGCTGCCCAGCACCTGAGAGGGAGAAGGTCCCTTCACAAGGCCTGGCCACCACCTCCATCTTCCCTTCCAGTCCTGACGGATGAGCAGAAGTCCCGAATCCAGGCCATGAAGCCCATGACCAAGGAGGAGTGGGATGCCCGGCAGAGCATAATCCGCAAGGTGGTGGACCCGGAGACGGGGCGCACCAGGTGGGGAGCCCTCGGCCTGACTTACACCGCGGGGTCTGGGAGTGTTGGCCGAAGATGTGAGGAGCCGGGCCGGGTGGGGGTGCTGCTGCCTGAAAAAGGCCAGATGTGGGCAAAAAACCATCACTGCGAGTAAGCAGTTGTAGGGGCTGGAAGGGCCTGGAGGAGGCTTTTCAAAGGGCTGTTGTTGGCAGGGCTGAGGCTGGCAAGGTGGAGCCCAGCTCGGCTGCCTTTATCAGGGAGAGTGGGTGAGGGCCCAGAGTCTGCCCACTCAAGGCTGCGGGGCGGGAGCCTGGGACCCCTCTGCCGGCTGCTTCTGGTTCTGCTCCTTTGGCATTAGGGGAGCTGCCTATTCCTTGCTGAATGGAGACCCTCCCACCCCCAGGCTAATTAAGGGAGATGGTGAGGTCCTAGAGGAAATCGTAACCAAAGAACGACACAGAGAGATCAACAAGGTGGGTGTGGCCCCTCTGCCTGCCATCCACCCCCAGCTCTGTTTGTGATATCCCCCTCCTCCTGTGTGCTTTCTTCCCCAGCAAGCCACCCGCGGGGACGGCCTGGCCTTCCAGATGCGAGCTGGGTTGCTTCCCTGAGGGCCCCGGCTGGCCAAGGCCTGTGGACGGTGCTGGCGACCCGGCCTGGGCAGGCTTCAGGGTGCCAGTGGGAAGCCTGATGAGTGCTGGTGGCCTTTTCCCCGTGGATTGGCCTCTGGCCCAGCCCAGCCTCTTCTCACGGGCAGGGGGTGGAGGATGGGGTCACCAGTCTGCTCGGCACCCCCATCTGAAACAGCGACACTTCTAAGCTATTAAAGGTTCTCTGGTTAGAGACTTTCTCTGTTCTGTGGCTTTTTGTGCTGAAGGGGAGGGAAGGGTGCTACATGACTGCCAGGGGAAAACAAGGGCTCCGGGAGCTTTCGGGAAAAGCTGGGGTGTCCTCTGGTGGTAGTGAGCACAGGCCACACCAGCGCCTGAGCCCTCCTCATCTTGCCTGGACCAGACCCCATGCCAGCTGAACCCCAAACCCAGAGAGCTGGCTCTGAAATGCCATGCCCTGAGGCATGGAGAGAGACAGCTTCCCCTGCCATGTTCATTCCACAGATCACAACAGTGCAGAGCCAGGTGCTGGGGCCGGGTGGCCTGTGTGGGAGGCCTGGCTCCTACTGCCCAGCTGTGTCCTCCATTCTGAAGCAGGGAGGCTCACAGCACCCGCTTCACGGGGGGTCTGTGAGGGCAAACTGAGTTCCAGCCCAGGAAGGAGCTAGAATCAGGCTAGGCCCAGAGTCAGCCCTGCACGAATGTGTTGGCGTCACTGTGAGTGTCACTAGCGTTACTGTTCCATGCCCCCATCCCACCATGCCCCACGGTCGCCAGTGCAGTAAAGAGACCCAGAAGGAAGCCTTCCCGCTTCTTTAATTGGTGTAACAGACATGACGTTGTATACAGAGCACACTCAGGCCCAATGATGCGGGGACAGCAGGGACAGGTGGGGAGAGTGGGGATGCTGCTCACACATGGCCCAGAGAGACAGATGGCACATGGACAGACCAGACAGGAGGGGCTGAGACATGAAGGCTGTGATGGGGCGGGCAGTGGGACTCAGACTGAGCCAGGGAGGGGTGGGGGTCTCTGCTGAATCCCTCTTTAGAAATCAAAGAGAAGGCAGGTGGTGGGGCCTGGGGCCTGGGGGTGTGGTGGGAGTGGGACTAAGGCTTCTATTCTAACAGGCCTGGGGGGTGGCAGTCAGCAAGGCCTGCCTCACCCTTTGGTTATGACTGGTCAGGCCTGAGCCCTGCAGCTCAGCACCCAACTCTGTAAACATTTTTGGTATTTTTAAAGGACGTTGCCCTCCCTCTCTCAGTTTCAGAAAGACTGGTGCTTCCTCAAGAGGAGAATGTGCCAAAAGGAATCTGAAGGGAGGAGGAAAGCAGACCTGGATACAGAAGAGACTTCCCATGGGGGGTGGGCTGCCCACCTTGCCATCTATGGCTGAGGGCCGCTGGGAGAGCCCCAGGGGACTATTGCTGTTGTCCTTGGCATGGCTGGCGGCTGGGCAGGCAGGTGGGGAGCGAGGAGCCGTGGGGGAGCTGCCCCCTAGGGAGAGGCTGAGCCCAATGCCCACAGGGCCTCCCGGCCTTTATTGCAGGAGGGCCCGAGACTCTTCCAGGTGCTTCTCTGGATGGCTGGTCACCGAGGCAGCAGGCAAGACAGGATGAGGTGGGGCCGAGAGTGGAGGAGGCACTGGCCACAGGGCCCCTGACTGGGGCTGTGATTGTCGGGCCAAGCGACTTCCCGCTGGGAGCAGGGGTGTCAGATATTGCACTTTCACTGCAACAGTTACATGAAAACTTGGTCCATAAAATAATCGTTGCTTTATACATAATGCCTGAAACAACAACAAAAAGCTACATCTTAAATATGAATAAACCCTGAAGGTTCCATCCCTCCAGACATTTTTCTCTGCACAAAATAAATAGCTTTCACTCTGTATAGACCCACTTTTGCAGAACATTTACACGACCCTTTGGCTGTACATATCTACACACAAGAAAAAGTTAACATCACTCTGTGCACCTCCCCAGCCCCGTCCACGCGGCCCAACGCCAGGCCCAGGTCGGCCGTAGCTTCTTGGGGACGTAGCCTGTTCGCTGGACAAAGGCTGAGGCCAGGCAGGCTCTCCCACCTCAGGGAAAGCCGAGGAGCAGCAGAGGGGCCACTGGAGCTGGCCATTGAGCGCCACAGCCAAGGTACGCTTGGTGCTGGGGAGAGAGGGCAGACGGTCAGACCCAGCGTGCAGGACAGCATGGTCCTTGTTCAAGCGAGAAATGAAGTCATGGCTGCCTGCCCTGAAGCTGACAAAGCAAGTTGTGGCTTCTTAGATTCGGCATGAAAACGGAATTGGCGTTAAAAAAACCGAAGTGTGTGCCCCACCCACCCCAGAGTAGAAATTCAGTGTGATTGCCGGGGGCGGGTGAGGCAAGGAGCCCATGCCTCGCTGAGTGGGCAGGAGCAGGGCCCACGGGACCCAGAACCAGGCTGGACTCCGTCACAGTGCTGGGTGTTTTCAGTGTGGAGGGGCTGCTCTCAGTACTGAAAGAGTTAAGAAAAGGAAGCAGCCAAGGATTGCTCATTTAAAAAAACCTCATAGAAATCAGATTGAGAAGTAGAAAGGCGTAGAAACGTGGGCGGGCGGCCTTGACTGATGGCAGGGAGCGGAAGAGGCGGCCAGGCCCGTCCAGCCCGTGGCCTGAGGCTGGAAACAACACTGGCCTGGGCTCCAGGCAGGGCAGGCGGACAGGTGGGCAGGGTCCGGGGCGCAGAAATTAAGATATGGCCTTTCTCTCCTGCTTGCACGAGGCTCTGCCGCACTGGAGCCTTCAGTGTGGTTGTAGGTCCTGGGTCAGCAGGTACTGAGTTTCATGCATGTCAACGGGTCTGTAGCCATAGGAGGTGGTAATGGGTCTCCGCTCTCAAAAATCAGTGCAAAACCAGTGAGGTTGGACAGTTGAGAAACTCGAGTTAACAAGATGCAGGCTGGACCCCGTTGGAGCTGCTACCAAATGGGAGGGGACCTGGGAGTGAGGGTGGCCAGTGAATGGGGATGTGACAGGCTGGGCTTGGGCCCACACCTGGCACCAGGACACTTGGAGATCCACGCAGGGCAAAATGTCTGGGAGAGCCTCCCAGGCCAGTCTGAGTGGGGAGTCCTGGTCCCTCTGCCATCCTGGGGCTGGTGGTCCCTGCCAGCTTCCATGACAAGCTGGACCCGTCAGGCCCGAGAACGTGAGGCAGGGCAGGGAGCACTGTGTGGTGTGGCCCGTGTCCTCTGCAAGGCCCTGGGACAAGCTCCCGGGCCCACGTCTCTGCATGTACCCAGGCCAGGCCTCCTAGCACCATGGAGACCTCGCACTGCACTCACGGTGCCCTACTTGGGGCCTGTGGCCGCCCCCGGCTCCAGGCGGCCAGTCATGGCGCGGCCCCAGCAGCCGGCCGCCATGCTCATGCTGCGCTGGCCCCGCTGCTCGCCATCTGCCTGGCTCTGTGTCCGCTCGTGCCGGTGGCTGGGCCTGCTGGGCTGCGCCGAGATGGTGCGAAGCAGGTGGTTCCGGGAACGCAGGAAGTCGCCCTGGCCAGGCAGGCCGAAGCTGCCCTTGCGCAGCGCCATGCGGGTGGCTGTGTTGCGAGCAGGCCGCGCCCGGTGGCTGTACTTCAGCTGCGCCAGGTGGGCTGCGTAGCCGTCCGTGATGAACTGCGGGGGCAGTGAGGACGGCTGTCACAGGCCGGGGCTCCCTGAGCTGCCCGCCTGCACCCGCCTTACAATGCGCCTGCTCACCTGGCACTGCTGCTGCAGCTTCTTGGTAGGCCGGCCCACGATGTAGATCTGCATGGGGGACAGGCTGATGGCGCTGTAGACCGCCACATCCTTGGTGGAGCCGTAGGCCGCGTGCACACGCAGGTGCAGCTGTGGGGAGACTGGCATGGGCACAGGCACCATGGTCCCTCTGCCGCCACCCGTCCTGCCCCCATCCTCCCGGGCCCCACCTCGGAGATGAGCAGCTTCAGGAAGTTGGCCTTGTGCCGCAGCGGGTCATGCACCAGGCCGTCACAGAAGGACACCACGCCGTGGGGGAAGTTGTGCTGGGCCAGCCACGCCACCACCCGCTGCTTCTGCATGTCGGGCCGGCCCGTCACGTAGATGATGAGGTAGCCCAGGTCCTGCCAGTGCCTGGGGGTGAGGGGCAGGCCTAGGTGTCTCATGGCCATCCCTTCCTCGCTCCTGGGCCTCCCTGTCTCCTGCCCAGCCAGGGCCCACTTGGGCCATTGGAAAGCACATCTGATAGAGCTCAGACAGTGACGATGACAATGGTGACAATGATGGTGCCGCAGCAGGCCCTCAGGTGCTTGCACCGGGCGCCAGATGCCCCTGCTGTGGTGTCCCTGGCTTACCAGCCTCACTTTCCAGATGCGGGAATTGAAAGCAGACATTGAGAAATGACATCGCTTGCCCAAGGTGACATAGCTGATAATTGGGGGTGCCGGGCTCTGAACTGAGGTCATCAAGGCCCAGTGCCTGAGCCAAGCGTCCCCCACAGAGGTTCCCCTGTCCTCCTCCACTTGGCTAGCAGGAGCCCCTGAGCCCACACACCTTGCTACAGCCCTTTTCTGCCCCTCCGGGCCACTCACCGCACCACGTCCACGGCCCCGGCCCGCACCTTGGGGTCGCTGCCCATGATGGACACGCTAGCGGCAAAGGAGCCGTCGATGCTGAAGACCACGAACTCTGTGCCCTTGGGCAGCACAGTGATGTAGCTGTCGGCAAACGTGTGGTCTCCCCTGGCAGGTGGTGGGGTGCTCATCAGAACCACCCAGAGCATCGCCCTGCCCACCCCGCCCACCCAGTGCAGGCATATACCTGACCACCATCTTGATGGGGTAGACACCCACGCCCAGGCGGTGCGACTCAGGGATGGTGTAGGAGACACGCCCACTGTTGTTGGTCACCAGCGTATCCAGGTAGAGCCACTCGCCTGAGGGTGGCTGGGTCATGATGTGCACATCCACCTGGGCCCAGCAGGCTGGTCACGGGCTGGCTGTGTCTGGCCTCCCCACCCCCTGCACCCCAGCCAGAGGGCAGCAGGGAGCTCCCCAAAGTCCCTCCATGTTACCCCTACCCGCCGTGTCCTTACCTTCTCCCCAGTCAGGGTGACCATGTCCAGGGGCCCATACATGAACCTGCCCGTCAGAACCTGGGGGCCGTCCTCATTGGCGAGGGCATCATTGATCCGGTGGTTGGCCGTCACGTTCTGTGGAGGGAGCAGCAAGCCCGGGTCAGGGGGTCAGAGGGCACCCCAGGTGCCTGTGTTCTGCTCAAGCTCTGTGGGCCCGAGGGGCAGGCTTGAGCTATGAGCTGCACAGCCCACATCCAAGTCTGGATCAGACACGATGGTGTGGCCTTGGAAAAAACTAGGAAGCCTTGCTGCCTTCCCTGTCTGTGAAGTGGGCTGACAGCTCCAGCCTCATGGCCCTGGAAGGTACATAAGACTGCAGGCTTCCCTGCAACTCAGTTTCCTCATCTGGACGCGGAGGCTGGTGACAGGGTGACAGCGTGGGGGCCTGGGCGCCCGGGGGACCCTCACCCGCAGCTTCACGTGGGTCCGCTTGCGCTGCCACTTCTCCCTTGGCTTGGAGGGAGTGAACACCGACACCTCTTTGCCATCCAGCTCCAAGATGCTGGAGTTGTCATGCCTCATGACCTGGGAAGAGGGGACAGGGCAGGGCCATGGGGCAGATGGCACCCTGGGGCTTCCTGCCGTAGGAGGAGGAAGAGGCCCAGCGCCCGGGAGCAAGAGGAGCCTGTGGGTTGTAGGGTGCGTTCTTCAACCCACTACCATTTGCCCAGTAGTCCTCAGATCCCTGTTCGTTCACCTGACGAATGTGTAGATATGTTCCCTCCATCCCAATATCCTTAAAAGCCTGAACACACCCCAGCATAAAGGTGCCTTCGTCTTGCTTGCTCTGTGATCTGATGGGGTTGGAGGGGAGTCCTCACTGTCTCCTCGTCTGTGAAACGGGGCCCTGTCATGGGTGTTGTCACTCAGGGCCCTCCTGGGAGGCCTGGAGCCCCGGGTACCTGTCTCAGCAGGAAGGAGACCACGTCTGTTGACTCCCAGTAGCTGGCGTGGAAGAGGTGAGGCAGAGCCACCGTGGGGAAGGCCGTGAGGGCATCAGGGCAGTACAGGGCATAGTCGATCCGCTTCTGGCCCCACCACTTTGCAGCGACTGCCAGGAGGGGCCGTGATTGGGCTGGGGCTGTATAGCCCAAAGGGTCACTCGGCCCCTCTGGCCTGCTCAGTCCAGCCCAGACCCCCCACCAGCTATAGCCAAAGTGAATCTTCTTCCAGGCTGGGGGAGTGAGGCAAGCGGGAGGGAGCGCAGGCAGAAGCACACAGACCCAGGCCAGTGGTGAGTGCCAGCCCTGCTGAGGGGCTCCCGTGGTTGCATGGGGGGACCAGTTGGAATCTGTGGGATGGTACCAGCTGTCCCTGGTCCCTTACTGACTCTGGTGACCCTCTGCCCTATAGCAACCCCATCGCTGCCCTCTCTGGGCCACTCCTGGTCTCCCGTCTTCCCCCTAGGCCTCAAGACTGGGAAAGGCTGCACAGAGGTGGGGTTACAATTCCTGACCCCCAGGGCAAGGGTGCTGCCCTCCTCGCACCTGGGACACCCCACGAGCCCTGAGGCACAGCAGTGTGGGTGGGGAAGCCTGGGCGTCCAGATGGATGGTCCTGGTGCATCCGGCTCTGCCACTAGGGGCTTGGCGAGGGCAACCTTCCTGAACAAGACGAGCTTGTAAAGTGCCTCTTGGGCTGTCCGCAGGGGGGCCCAGCAGCAGGGCCTGGTTTACAGGTCCGGGCTTCCCTAGGTTCTGCCCGCAGCTTTCCTCGGAGCTTCCTTGGTCCTCATCTGGCCTCATTCCAGCTTTGTCAGGTCCCCGGTCCCCCCACCCCACTAGACAATGCTACCAGCTCCTACCTCCTCCCTGGATGGCCAAGTCCTCCCAGCCCAACCCCCAGCTCCCTGTTAGGCCGAAGCAGGGGTCCAGGTGGGCAGAGCCTGGTGGTGAGGGGTGCTCAGCAGCAGAGTGACCCCCCAGTGAGGGGAAAGCGTGTGGGGTGGTACCTTCTCTGATGTCCAGCTCAGGGAGGCCAGGGGCCCTCTCCAGGCTGGGGCTCGCCTGCCTGGCTGGAGGGTGGGGGCCAGGGGTGATAGGGCGGGGTGGGGGCAGGGCGAGCAGGGACAGACGCCTGACGCTGGGGGTATGGCTGAGCGCATCGGGGGCCTCTGAGAAGCAAGAGCAATGGATGGCTCAGCCACATGGGGGGCCACTGCGCTGCCACGTCTACCAGGGGCCAGGCAGGACACTGGGACAGTGCCAGGCCTGCGGCTATCAAGGGTGGGCCCCTTGGCCCTCCTCACGGATGAACACAACTGCTAGAAACCCCCATCCCAGCCTCAGCCCCTGTATAGCCACGCTGACCGCAGCTGTGAGAATCCCTGGTCCAGCATGGGGGGGGCAGCCACCTGGCGGGGACTGAGAAGGAAACCCAGACTCTGCTTGAAGCACCAAGAAGCTTCATGCAGGAGCCAAGCATGAGGAAGGTGGGGCCCTTCCTAATGCGCCTTCTTCCAGAATCCTCCAGAGAAGGCGAAGCTTCTCAGCCTGGACACTGCAGAGTCTTTGGACTTGACCAGTCTCTGCTGTGGGGCTGGTCCGGGCACTGCAGGTGCCCAGCAGCCTCCCTCCCTCTACCCACCGGGTGCCAGCAGCATCCCTCCCCAGCTTCAGCAGCTAGAAATGCTCCGAGACCTGGTCATCAGCTGTCCCCTATGGGCACGATGGCCCTGGCTGAGTGAGGAGGGTGAGGGGCCTGGTACACTCACTCTGGGCAATGCTGGATGCTGTGTAGCTCTCGGCCATGCCTGACACCTGGCTGGCGATGCTGATCTCACTGGCTCGGCGGAAGCCACGACTGGCAGGGGCAGTGCTGGGCGAGGACGGGGTGGCATGCTCTTGGAAGGCCGCATTGTAGGTCTGGAGCACATCCGCTGCAGGTGGACAGGGACCAGAGGCCAGGTAAGAGAGGCCCTGCCCAGCCCTGCCCAGCCCCGGAGCAGTTGGGGAGCCAGTGTGTCAGGGTCCAGTGTGTGCCTAGGCTGGGGGCCGGGCAGCAGCTGTGCCAGAGCCACCTGCTCAGGGCCGTGAGAGGGAGGGGCCCAGAGCTTCAGCAGGTGAGGAGGAGGGCTGGGGCAGGGTGGACTGAAGAATGGACACAGACACAGGGCAGGGAGGCGTGGCAGCTGGGCTCAACCTCAGTCACCCTCCTGCCCCCCACACACCCCTCAGCTCGTGTCCAGCAGCCCCAGCGGCTCCAGGGCCTCCAGAGCTCAGCCTGGCCTGACCTGACCCACAGCCCACAGCAAAAGCAGCGGCTCCACCCAGGTTTGCAAGGTGCTGACAACAGGTGCCACAGGTGGCTTCCTGGGGATGCCCTGCACATGCAGAGCACGGAGAGAGGCAAGCCCTGGATGTCCCTCACACAGGCCACAGCCAGCAGTCCCTGATGGGCGTTTGGGGACAAAGGCAGGTGCTGGGGACTCAAGCCAGGCTCACCCAGGCCCAGGCTGAAGACAGGACAGAACGGGGAGGACGGGGATCAGTCAGACAAGCCACACCTGGACGGGGTACAGGAGGTGCCTGGGTGACCTCAGAGAGGGAAGAAGTGGGCCCTGGGGAATCCAACCCCTCACTGGGACCAGAAGCTTCCCCAAGTGAGGGGTGGGCCTGGCTGGCTCAAGGCCTCATCCCATCTCCCGTCTGCTTCTGGCAGAGCCCTGGAACTGTCACTGACGTGCTCTGTGGCCCTGAGACAGCCTCTGCTGTTTCTGAGCTGCTGCGCCCCTTTGCTTTGGGTCTGCCCCGCCTCTGGCCCACAATATGCGGGAGGAGGCACCCATACCAGTTCCTCAGGGCCGTCCCGCCCAAGTCTCTGTTCCTCACCACCCAGGTCCCACCAACTCTTGAGTGGCCAAGGAGGGCATGGGTTGGGGGGTGTCCCTGAGGACTGGGTCAGCCAGCGAAGCAGACGTCACCACGAGCAGGGGAGGGTACACACACTCGGCAGAGCCCGGGCGGGGCCCGTCTTGCCAGGTGGGCGCGGGAACAGGCATACTGGTTTCCAGGAAGCTGTCCCCGTGGGGGAGAGGGGCCAGGGGGCCGCCCTCCAGGACCAGCTCAGGGTTTCTCTGCACGGTCTCGACTGGAGGCAGACGGGGAGAGAACAGAGGACAAGAACAGACACTTGCATGGGCCATCCAGACACGCTCCAACACAGAGACTCAGGGCTCTTTTAGGACCAGGACATGACAAGACGCTGGGACACACGCCGGGGCAGGGGTCGGGCCAAGCCCACCTGGACCTCCCCTGCCCCAACCCGTCTCCTGCATCCTGTCTCGGGGCCAGCCACCTGCCATGATGGGACCCAGCTGACCAGGCCCCCAACTCAGTGAGGGTCCCTGGTGGGTCCTTAGCTCTGTCTCTGCTGGGATGGAGGCTCAGCTGTGGAGAGGGGAGTCTGGTCTCATTCTGCCCCTTCCCTGCTCCGGGGACCCTGGAACAAGGCCCTGACCTGTGCCCTCCGAAAGGTGGGAACCATCATTCCTGCCTCAGGGATCAGTGCGGAGGGATGCACCACCCCCCGCCCCCCACCCCCAACAGCTGTCCACCTCCAAGAGGCATTCAGCACAGGCTGTCCCTCTCACCTGGGGAAGAACCACGTGGCACGGAGGGCCTAGGAGCCAGGGAGCCACGCCTACCCCACCTTCCCCCAGAGGAGCAGGACGGAATGTGCCTCTCACCCAGCAGTGTGGAGCAGCCGTCCCCCAGCGGGTAGCGTTGGTAGCGGGGGACACTGAAAGGCGGCAGAGCGTGGAAGCGCCGTTCCAGCAGCGGCTCCAGGCGCGACGCTGACGGGTCCGCGGGGTGGAAGAGGTTGTAGACTTGCTGGCAGGCCGGCCGCAGCTGGAAAACTGGGGGTGGGGGTGTTGGCTGCAGAGCTGGGGCCGGCCCCGAGGAGCAGGGGTGGGGAGTGGGAAATTTGGGAACTGGGAACTGGGTTGTCTGCCGAAAGTTTGGGAGAGACGGGGGTGTGTCTCTGTCAATTTAGGACCTGTTTCGGTCATTGTCACTTTTTTCCAGACAGGCTCTTGCTCTGGCACCCAGTCTGGAGGGCAGTGGTGCGATCTTGGTTCACTGTAGCCTCAGTCTCCTGGGCTCAAGTGATCCTCCCCCCTCAGCCTCCTGAGTAGCTGAGACCACAGGTATACACCACCACACCTGGCTATTTTATTTTTTGTAGAGATGGGGTCTCAGTATGTTACCCAGGCTGGTCTCAAACTCCTGGACTCAAGGCATCCTCCCACCTGGGCCTCCCAAAGTGCTGGGATTACAGGCGTGAGCCCCCACGTCCAACCTCTTAATTTTTTTTTCATTGCAAAAGTTATAATGATTGTGGTAAAAAGTGGTTTGCAGTGCAGAAGAGCACATGATGAAGGGCACATGGTGGAAACCCCTTCCACCCCAGGCCCCCTGCAGCTCCAGTTCATCTTGCAGGAGCCCCACCGAATACTGGCTAAGGCAGCCCTGCCCTGCCTGTATGGGAAAATGTTTCTTCATCTGTCAAATGGGGTGGCAGTTCCAACCACATCATGGAGTTAAGGAGATCACGTGAATGTAAGGATGTGTTAATTATCAGTGCTGTATCTCACGTTTAGAGGGACATAAACCGGAACATATGCTATGCCTTCTGAACTTTGCCTTTTCTTCCCGCTTAACACAACAAATGCTGGCGTCTTTCATGTGAGCATGCATAGTTTCTCCTTGCTCTTTTTCAGAGGAGGCAGGTACTCCACTGTGTGACTGTGCCAGAATTGATTTAACCAGTCCCCTCCAAATAGATGGACATTTAAGTTGGTTCTGGTTTTTCACAGTGACACATAATGTGACCACAACGGCACTGTCCCTAAGTCTCCATGCACCTGTGTGGGACTCTGTGGGGCTGTTTAGAGCCTGCAGTGGACGGGGCACAGGGATGCCCTCCATGGGGCTGCACCCCTTTACACCAAGTGTGAGCTGCCTTGGTTGTTGGGGTCCCTTTAAAGCTACCCATTTCTCTTCCTGGCAGTGCTGGTCACCAGTTTGTGGAAGGGGAAGGGTCCTGGGCACTGAGTCCAGAGATCTGCTTTTTTTTTTTTTGAGACCGAGTTTCACTTTTGTTGCCCAGGCT